TATTGCAAAATAAAATCATGCAAACTTTGGTATTGGAATATCGTAAATCTAACCTTATTGTTATCACTTGCTCGCAATATAGTAAGATTTATTATTATTATTGATCGCTCGATTTTTATTTATTTTTTATTTAACATATTAATCCTGCATAAAAATATTTGTGCATTAACCAAACTTATACATATTTTCATTAATTCTAAAATAATTCTATAATATAATAAAAATTGGTATAACAAAATAATGATTTAAATCGAAATATTTCTGAAATATAGAGAAAAAAAATGTTTAAAATTTTTCAAAAAATTACAGAAAAATTAGGAAAACAAAGATTTCATCAAAGATATTTAAAATCACGAGATTTATTATTTATTGTAATTTTGTTATTGTGTTTGTTATTTGTATTTAATACAACATGTATTTAAAATTATTGCTATGCTATGCGCACCACGCGCTAAATCAATATTCTAATCCCGGGAATTTTGTTACGGATTTTATATTGCACTTGCTTTGACGTGTCCGTAATGTGTAAATATTGAATTTATTTATTTCACATTGTCGTTGTGAACTGACATCGCACGCATTCGTGATTCGTCGAGACTTTCCTCGTGGCAGCAGCGGGAAAAGAAATCGAGATCCCACGCGGCTGCGGAAATCGACCCGTGTTTTCGAAAGAGAACCTTCCGGTTTGACACGGCTTGTCGGTAGCGACAAAAATTTTCATTGTATCGGGAAAATATCCGGTGTTTACTCTGCTCCAAAATGTGATTTTCCTACCGCAAATCAGCGGATTTCTGCATTAAATCTCCATCTCGCGCATCGTATGCGCGTTGCCGAATGTATCATGATAAGATTAACTTCGTTTAGTCCGTCCATTTTTTAAAAATTACTTAAAAAATATATTTTCGAGATTTTTCATTTTAAACTAATGAAAAGTGGACTATTATTTAAGTTAATCGAATAACAAATTTTTAATTCGATTATACAAATAACGTAAAAAAGTTAGATATTACACTGACAATGAGACAAAAATTTTTTGTATTTGCAACTATAATTACAAAGTACTATAATTATGATTATTACTAACGTTATGTTAGTAATAACAATTATATGTATAGTTCTGTCAACAAATATATATATATATATATATATATATATATATATATATATTACTATCAAAAATTACTATTAATTTACAGTCATTTTTGGGGGACAACTATATTTTATATGGTTGGTGCCGAAAATGACTATAAATTAATGGTAAGTGCAACCATTTTTATGGCAATAATAACTGTAATGTGTAGTAAGTTTTGATATCAACTGTATATATTTGTTGATAGAACATATAATTATAATTACTAACAATTAGTAGTAACAATAATAATTATAGTGCTTTGTAATTATAGTTGCAAATACAAAAAATTTTCCTCTCGGTGTACTTTAGACAACATATACATATGAATTTTGGAAAGTGTGATACGTGTGTGCTTTGAAAAGATTGTTTACTGATACAATTAGAAGATTTGGGGTTCATTATTTCTCCCCCTAATATCGCCTGAAAGATGTACGAACGAAATAATTTTAGAAGAATTATGACGAATTTTCGAACAAGCGCAAGTTGTGTTTACGCTCGTGGATCGATTGGCCAATTCGGCACGTCGGTGCACGTCAAGACGGCGAAGGGTGATTCTTCTTCCTCGTGCCGTACAAATACGTTCAACTTGACCCCGATTACGATGAATCGGATTTCCGGACTACGGTGATCCTAGCGGACACCCTCGAATCAATCCTTACGAGAAGGTAGAAAACGGCTGGTGGAGCGCGGGGAGAGGAGAAGTCGAGCGATTCGAATCGCGCGGAAAGTGAAACTCGGTATCCTTCCCCGCCGAGACTTTGGCCGTAGATATACCGACTTCCTCCTTCGAGCGAGCAATAATTTACCAAACGGAATCGGACACTGGCGTTTCCGGATCTCGTTACGCGGGCACATCCATTCGTACATACCGTTCGAATTTCCTAAACACTGCGCCGCGCGTTAAATGCAACTCGCGACTCGTTGCTCGGGAAATGCTTTATACTTCACGGTATACATGTACGCCGAATTCTGTCTATACGGATCGGAAAGAGAAAAAAAGATAACCGTAATCTTTGTAGGTGTCACGTTATGAGGAAATCGGGACACGCGATACGGCAAGAATCGATTAGACATGCTAACACACGATACTCCGGATTAAACAATATAGCTTAGTCTCAAGAGGCGCACAAAGGAAAGAAAGGGAAGAGGGAAAAGAAAAATTACGCTAGTCCACACCACGCAATTTCTACCGAATTCATCAGCCGCTTGTAAATTAATTCCAAACACGAACTTCGCGTATAGCGCGTCGCGAGCACGATATTTCCTACCCTCCCCCCCCCCGAAATTTCATATCAGCGTTATCAAACTCCGCTCCGTGTTCCGCAAGTGGAAGAACAGCTTGCGCCACTGCGGCTCTCTCTCTCTTTCGCTCTCGGGAGTTGCCGAAATCCTCGAAAGGGTTTTCGGCCGGGCACATGACACGTGAGGTTGGGACCGTGTCCGTTTGCGTGGACGCCGGGCGTCGGGCGCTCACGTGGCATCCCCCCCCCCTCTCCCCCTCCGCCGCCTTCATTCTCGCCGCGCGGCGGCGGGCATCGTGTGTGCATGAGGTTCCCTCGCCGCCCGGCATCCTCCCCTTCTCTCCCCGCCGCGCCGCTCTACCGCCGCTCGGATCCACCACCCGAACGTGGCGGTCCCACGATCTTGCACCCCCCTCTACCCCGCACTCTACCCGCGCGTCGCTTCCCTCCTCCGGTCCCTCGCCCCGCCGCTCGGCCACGCCACGGCAGCAGCCGAAGAGAGCCGAGACTCCGACTGCTGCGCCGTCGCGGGCCCGCCGCTCCTCAGTAACGCGAGCGCCTTCGTGGAGTTTGGTATTCCGGTTCCCCTGCTGGTCGCTCGCGCCCGCACGTCGTCGTGGTAACGCACGCAACGCGGCGGCAACGCGCGTTCGTCGTCGTTTCTCTGTCCTCCTTTGTCCCCCGCCGTCGATCGTGTGCGGCAATATACGTTTGCCAGTGCTTCAACACCGCGGAAGTGTTCGCCGGGGGCGCGTGCTCCGGTTGCCGGATGATCGTCGCGCGCGATTAGACGCGAGTGTTTTGGTGGATCGAGAGAAGAGGCCCTTCCTGTTACTCTCTCGCACGCGCGCGCGCGCGCGCGAGACGTCATTCACTCGCGCGCGGGGAATTCGGAGTCGAAGTGTGTTGTATACGCCGTGAGGTAAACAAAGGAGAGTCGGGCGGTGAATCGGATGAATCGACATTGGAAAACGGCGTCGCGTACGCGACTCGACGAGTCTCGAGAGTGTGCCGTGTGACCGTCGTCGCCGCAGCAGCAGCCGCCGCCGGTGTGCGTTGCTGATCTCTCGCCCCGAGTTTTTTTTTTTCTCGTGTCGTCGTCGGGACGCGCGCGGCGCGCGCGAACGAGAATGCCGGGACGCGTGACGCGGTCGGTCGGGGAGCAGCGGCGTGCTCGCGCCGGTTTGGTTTTCGGGTCGCCGAGTGGCGACTGAGGGGGGCCGGGGAGGGGGTTGAAGGGATGCGAGGGATCATCCCGCGGGAGCAGCAGCCGGCGCGGTGTGTTGGGTAGCGGCGTGCCGCGTGTAGGTGCCGGGGCGAAGTAGTAAGAGTGGCAGGAGGTGGAGGAGGAGGAGGAGGAGGGTGATCTCGGGTGCGAGGATGGCCGGCTGGCGGCGAGTGGCGCTGATCCGCAACGTAGGTGCTGCTGCTGCTGCTACTGTTGCTGTTGCTGCTGCTGCGCGTCGCGACACCGACCGACACGACGTGACGGCCACGTGCCGCAGCGGACGCGTCGTTGGCCAGCGGCATTAACTCTCTCTCTCCCCCCTTTTATCGTGACCGGGTGATTGCGTGCTGAGCATGTCGTAACCGCGCGTTTGAGAACACGCGATCGGAGTGTATTCGCCGCTGTACTCTCAGGTACCCCCCCCGACGTAATAAACAGAACGGAGAGATACTCGCGCGATCGTACGCACGCACGCACGCACGTTCGTGCGTATTTATTAATAAGTAAAAGCCGGCCCCGGATCTACGACAAAGTAGTGAGTACTCGCGTCGCGAGTGACCGGCGAATTGAGTTTAAACCGACTCGACAGTGCAATCGCGAAATCGCGCGGGAAACGCGAGGAACGCAACAGGAAGAAAAATTCGCTGCTCTCTCTCTCTCTCTCTCCTTTGGAAAAATTTTTTGATCGCAACTCCTAAGAGGAGACGAGAACAGAAATAGAGTAGTGTGGCTGTTTCTTCGCATGTAGGATAATATGTGAAAGATTTTGGTTCGCGTGACTGTGTGCAAGTTTTTCGACATCATTCATTCGAGAGTTCGACACGAGAAAGTTTCAATATACGAGGATAGTGAACGTGACCGCGTCAACGTGTACAACGCGACAAGTTCGAAACGTCCGAATTCACGATACCTTCCGTCCTATGTGCACCCTGGGGTAACGCGCGGGTTTCCCCTTGTTTACGCCGAAGGATACTTCTACGATGTGCAGTGATACGTAACGTCCCTACGCAGTGATCGTTCATGACAGAGGAATTTAAGCAATGTCGTCGATATTTTGAGAATCGGATTTTCGAAAATGTGTAAAACTGAAAAAATCTACAGCGACGCATGTTTTGAAAGCGTGAAACGGTCGAGATGGTAGTGGATCGGTGCGTGTGTGTGAGAAAAATTTTGCTTTAAATTTTCGACGTTCAAGGTCGGAGAAATTGGGGAAAAATAGTTAAAAGAGAGAGTGAGATATTGTACGAAAGCGGGAAAAAGAAAGCGGGAAGAAAAGGCGAAAGTGAAGAGAGACAGAAAGAGAGAAGAAGAAGAAGAAGAAGAAGCACGTTTCGTCCTCTAGTCCAAATCCCAGCGGGTGTTCGAGGAGAGGGTGAAGGGCGTTGTGGAGGGGGGAGTGATGCCGGCGGTGAGCGTGGCACAGCGCCCTCCAGGTGGAATCCCACTCCACGCCGGCGTGCCGGTAGCGCCCAGCAGCGTAACCGCCCCCGGTCCGTCGGGCCGGTGCCTCGGGGGCCCGGCAGCGCCCCCCGCCGGCTCGCCACCGCTGCCGCCGTCCTTGCAATCCCTTGGCGGCGGCGTCGTCACTAACAGCAATAACAGCATCAACCACAGCGGCAGCAACAACAACGCGCTCGGTGGCGGCAACCTCAACAACGTCGTCAACAATAATCACCATCTCGGCAACAGCGCCTTAGGCATCAACACGGCGAGCGGCGCTCACACGAATCCTCTGCAGGCGATGGCGTCGGCGGCGGCATCGCTCACGCAGCTCAACAACATGGCGAACGGCCCGTTGCCGCCGCTCGCGGGCACAGGCCCGGCCGGACCACCGAGTCTGCCGCCGCCGCAGCCGGCGACGACGCCGACGCACGGCGGACCGCCGACCCCGCATGGCGGGGTCAGCGCGGCGCCCCATCTCAACGGCGCTTCGCCGAGTCCCCATCCGATGCCGCCCCACGGAATGATGAGCGGCTCGCCTCACACGCCTCACCCGCACATGGGGGGTGGCGGGCCCTCGCCCCATCCCCATCATCCGGGGCCCCACATGGTCGGCTCGCCGCATCATCCAGCGGCGCCCCATCCGATGGGCCCGGCCGGCATGATGGGCCCGGCCGGTATGCAGCCCCAAGGGGCGCCCGGGATGTGCGGACCTGGACCCAGCGGCCCGATGGGCCCGCACGCACATCCACAAGGCCCAGGAGTACCTGGACAACCGCATTTGCACAACGACCCATTCTTTAACTGCCAACCTTTTCCGTCGCACTACTACAACAGGTAAATTCGCAAGACGACCGACAATATTTGTCCGATATAGGTATATCTTACGGAAGCGGAGGAAGGATTCGAAGGAAAGGAAGGGAAAGATGAGAATTTTTGTGACCAATGACTCTCGATTATCGTCCCAGAATTGAGAGAGACGATTGAAGTTGTTGTAATAAATCATAATTTTTTGGTCATTAAAAAATAAAATATTTATTATATTTTTAGGTCATATTAAATTTTAAATTAATATTAGTATAGAAAAAGTGTTTAGTAATTTTTATTCTTAAATATGATTTGATTATATTTTTATAAGCAAGATATTTCCAGACAATTGCAATAAATTCAACAGGGTGCTAGATCTCACTAAACAGAATAATTTTTGTTAAGCAACCCGGCGATGTTCCCTTAAGCCAAGTCAATTTTTAGCCTTGTTAAATACCATTTTCTGTAAGATTAGATTAGAATAAAAAAGATCGTATATTTTTTAATTTTATTTTGTTTATTTTGTATTACTACAAATGTTCGAAACTACGATCTGCAACCTCATTACAATACATCTATGGTGCATTGAATGACGCGCACCCTCTGGAAAATTCCAAGAGTATTGTGAATCACATGACATGCGTTCATTATCTCGTTGATGAGTTCATTTGGATGTTGACAGGGGTCGTGTACACTAAACTTTTGACATGCCTCCCTCGCACAGGAAAATATCCATGTTCAACAGTACCTAGCACCACCTCTGTAAAGTTAGCACCTTAAGGTGGCATCGCCGGACGCAGGTTATTTAACGAAAATTGTTCAATTTAACGAGATTTAGCAGAATGTGTGTGTGTATGTGTGAAGTTGGCATCCCCAAGTAAAACTTTCTAAAAATTATCAAGAATTCTTCCATTTCTTCTGAATAATTCAGAACTTTGAACAGAACTACGATTTCGAAACATGGGGGTGCCAACTTCACACACCCGATCTAGCGTTTTTTTAAGATTGTCACTATTGTTCGGAAATGACGTTTTATATTTCTTTCTTAAACTGCATTGTTTTTATTGTTTTTTTACTGATACTGAATTAAATTTCATATACTTGACAATTGAAAATTAAAACATATTACAACACTTCGATTCTCTCTCTATAAAATTTAACGAGAACTGATAGACACACATCTAATTCATAAAATATAATGATAATCTATAAGATACAATTGATTTCAAGACTTATTCTGTTACGCAATTGTGATATTTTGCATTGTAAGAGCAAAATTCAAATTAAATTGGATTTTAACATCCTACTATTAACTCTTTTCTAAAAATAATGATTTTTTTTATTACTGATTCATGTAATTGGAAATGAACAAGGTTTTACTATTTTGCGTAAGATGATTCTAAAAATAGTTAATTTTATGCGAATTGCGTTGGCATTTTTTTAAAGCGTTTTACTGACAGGCAGATACAATCAACAAAGTTGCTTGTTTTTTTTTTTGAATATTTACTTTTTTATGTTAACCGTCGCGTTACAAATTGCAAAGTTATAACATTATGCTGGAAGAAACGTGATTCATCTATTCTCTCTAGCGTATGGAATCGATGTTATGTTCTAGTCACCAACAAATTCTTCGTCGTTCGGCAAGCGCGATTTTCATAAGATCGATACGGTTAACAGTGCTTTCCTGCTAGTGGCAACTGTAATGAATGCGCCATAAACGTCAAAATTACGACAGAAGAAATAATTTACATACTCGATCATACGTGAAAATAAATACATACGTCGCCGATATCTCGCTCGGCATCGAGAAAGTGCCGCGGCGCGGGTTTCCGCTTATTTCTCTCCAAAGAAAAGATCTTCGATATTTCAAAGCAATTTTGCTTTGGAAAGCGCGGAGGGATTATTGTATGGAGGGAGGAATCGAATTATACAGGATGTATCAGAAATCGTACATTTTTTTTCGATTGTTGATTTTTTAAATAAATTAAAAATCTATTGCTACTTAACGAGAGTATCGCCAATTGACAACTTTCCAAATCAAAATTTTATTGAAATATTATCAGATTTAAAATGAATTAAAATTCTTGGTTATTTATTTTCAATTTGAAGTTAGGATTAATTTATAGAGTTGCTTTAATGTTCAGCTCCTTTATGTTATTTAAAATCTTGTTATATCTTGACAATATTTTTTTAAATTATATTTTTCTGTGCTTCGTGTCGAAAACGCATAGTTTCTGAGACACCCTGTACAATGATATAAATAGGTAATCTGTCGTCATACCGACCATAACAGTTCACCGTCACGCGAAAGAACACTCGCACGTGCGTTTCACCGGTCGGGGTGGAACTTTGCGTGAAGGCGTATGTAAACTTTTTCTCGGGGCCCGCACGAGGAAGGGTAGATGGGGGGCGGGAGAAGGGGAGGGTTGGCACAGGTAGTCACGCGAGGCTTTACGAAAAACTGTATCGCGTGGCCGTAAGAATCTCCCGCGAAGCTTAGCTCTCCCGCGCTCGGCCGCGCTTATGCGCTATCACAGCTCCGCCTTGTGTCGTTAATAATCGCGACATACACTCCAATATTCGTACGAAATTATTTTCTATATATCGACGATAAACTCGCCACGTGTTGAGGTTTCTTTTGTCGCTTCGAGCTAGAGAATACTATTGCATATATGTATCGATAAAGTAATCTTTCAGCGAGTAATCAATATACTGTCGGCCAAGAACAGTGTCAAAGAGTTTGCATATTTATTGACTATTAGTTTTTTTTCCTAACGTTTTTCTGAGTCATATCATAATCTGTAATTTTATGTAAGAACACAATAGTGTTTATACGTTGTATACATTACTAGATAAAAAGTGAAAAAAGACGCACGGTCACTTGCGATAATATTTCTTAACGGTTAAAGTAATGTTTTTTTAATACCTCTAAAATGTCTTCTAAGTGAATATTTATATATACGTATAATTATCTATTAAATTTATCGTCGAAAAAATATACCTCAATAAGACGTTTTGCCTGAAGGAGGGGATAAATTGAAGGAATAGCCGATACATAGGAACTGTCGGGCAATATTAAGTTAAGATTATTCACGGCTTGTCTTCGATTGGTTCGAGATTATTCCGTGACTCGGTCACGGACCGACGAGCTTTTTTTCCACCGCGGATATTTTTAGACAATTGTTTTACGGCTCGATACTTCGTTCCGTGCCAATCGTCCGGTAGTCGCTCACTAGTACGTTCTCTCAGGCGTAGTAACAGTATACCCCGAGAATCCGTTACCTCGGCTAGGATCTTCCTGGTCACCGTTGCACACTTGCGGCTCCGCGCAACGCGGTTGAGAATATAATACAATGTAGATAGCCTCGAAAGTCTGCGAAGATTTCCCGAGTAGCGACTCCACGCTCGCTACTCGCTAAAATCAATCTCGACGCAAGTTCGCCGCGAAACCACGTTCCCACACGGAAAGAACGATTTTGTTGAAAGGTCTAGAAATTTCGCTAAATACAGATCTGAAAATAATTTTTTGTTGAATCATCAAAATAATTTGTTGGAATGTTAAAACTGATGAGCATTGCTATAAAGCGTTTTGATATTCTAGCAATCATTTTAACTTTCGCACAAAATTATTTTGATTATTGGACAAAAATTATTTTCAGATTTGGATTTTAGCAAAAATTGTTCTTTCCGTGCATTAAAATCGCACTAACGCACTAAAAATTTTTTTGTTTATAGTACACAATGTGTTTACAATATAAGGTACATAATAAAAGCTCCGGTTCTCCTTTTCGCGAAAATAAAATTTCCTACGAGATAGTAGTTCCGTTTTCTTGGAGGGAATTTTCTTGGACGTGAAATCGTGCGCGAGATTGGAGAAAAACGACTATCGGTTTCGCCACAGATACACACGAGTGTCCGCCGTCCGTCAGGTGCGTCGGAAAGAGTCGTCTTCTCGCCGCGGTATCTCCACGGTGTTTCAGGTGCCCCGCAGGTGGAAGGTGCCCCTGGCGCAGGTGTGCACGCACGGTTCTCGTCCGCGACTTCCTCCTTCGGCGCGGGGCTCGCCGAGGAAAAGTGTATAGTCCGGGGGTTAAGAACGTCGATACTCGGTATGTGCATGACGACGATTATCCGGTACTTCTCCTCCTCGGCCTTCCTCGTATCCGGTCTGGACGTCTCTATCACCTCGGCGTCATCTCCACGCTCGCCGTCCCCGTCTGGTAGTCGCACGGGCTCATTAACATAAGCGTTCCACCCTGCTACATTCGTACGAATGACGATGCTACTTTGCTCGCAAAAGCTTTCTTTTTAACTGCACACTCGACGATCCCATTTTAACATACGCGAAACGCTTTGAGGTTCGCCATCGTTTGTGATTTCTGATTGACGGTTGACGCCATCAAGCTGACATCAGTTTTATCTCAATGGGATCTCGATGTGACGCTTTTTCATCATTTTATACAGTATTTGTACCAAAAAGAAACACGGTGACTTAAGTATTTCCCGATCGGTCTGAGCCGTGTCACGCAAATGTGTCTTTCTGAGTAAATTTGCTTTTAATTGAGCTAAGCTCGACTGGTGTCATCTCGTAAGATTATTGTCGTGATATGTTATGCAGATAAGAAAACCCGCATTTATGTACTGTCGCTGTTGCTTTGACTAGTGACTTGACTGAGCTTCTTAGCATACACGTAACTTCGTAACTCGGGAAAATCCAGACGTTATTTCATCTATAATAGTATAGATATCGCTTCAGTATCGCAGGATTTCTATAAAGATCTTTAAGTATTTCCTCGGATGAACTTTGAATCGTAATTTTTCCGCTAAAGTAGAGATTGTGCAATTTTTTGAAAATTGTCCGGGATTGGAATTATCGTAGTCGATACGATTACAGTTAACAAATATGTGATAATTCATGCTACAGTTATAAATTTTACATAAATTATATAATTTTTAAGCATTTTTTTTTTATTTTACAATGTGACGTTATGCGATAAATTTAAAATTTTGAAAATGAGGGGGCGCCCACT